ATTTTTGAAATTATTTCCTTCCATTAGCTTTATCCCCCCTTTATGTAACAAACTTGATTTACAACTATACGCAACGCAACGCAAATATACGCAACGCACATCACAATTCCTTGATCAATACGCATTTTCAAACAAACCGTGACCTAATCTAATTTTCAGAAACGTGGGAACATAAAACTTAAAGGAATCCTTCGCAATTTTAAGCAATCTTTTCTAAAAACTTTCAGCGTTTATACCCTTTAAACAGCTCTTTCGTTATTTTCTCCAAAAGTAGGAAAAAAGACTAGAAAGCCAACAAAGACAACAGAGACCACAGATACAACAGAGACAACAGAGACAACAGAGACAACAGAGACAACAGAGACCATAGAGACAACAGAGACAACAGAGACAACACAGACCACAGAGACAACAGAGACAACAGAGACAACAGAGACCACAGAGACCACAGAGACAACAGAGACCATAGAGACAACAGAGACAACAGAGACAACACAGACCACAGAGACAACAGAGACAACAGAGACAACAGAGACCACAGAGACCACAGAGACAACATAGACAACAGAGACAACAGAGACAACAGAGACAACAGAGACAATAGAGACAACAGAGACAATAAAGACAGCAGTGACAAAAGAGACAACAGAGACAAAAGAGACAACAAAGAAAACATGGATAACAGGGACTACAGAGACAACAGTGACAACAGAGACAACAGAGACAACAGGGACAACAGAGTCAACAGAGACGACAGAAACAACAGGGACAACAAGACAACACGACAACAAGACAACAAGATGAGAAGACATCAAGACAACAAGACAACAAGACAACAAGATGAGAAGACATCAAGACAACAAGACAATAAGACAACAAGACAACAAGACAACAAGACAACAAGACAACAAGACAACAAGACAACAAGACAACAAGATGGGACGATAACACATCAACAAAACTCTGAAATTTATAATTTTACACAGGAAAAAGAGCATTTATCTCAAACACATCTTGTTTTGGACTGTTTAGTAACGATTTGCTGACTTATTAGAGACAAGAGCTGTTTTCAAGTGTTTAGTGTTTTTATAGAACAGGAGGGGGAAAAGATATTCCTGTTATAAAGATTAACTAGGTCGTTTGTGAACATTGGCTGTTCTTAGAATCACGTGACACAAGCTGTCGTCAGAGTTGGGTCTAAGATTGGGTCTTAAAGCTGCGTTTAAGGAATTAAGACTCGAGCCGAAGTTTTTAAATCGCGGGCTCAGGCTTTTTTATTCTGTGTTCCATGCATGAACTGTTTTTTTTCAAAATCACGACATTTTAGTCAGATTAGATGGTTGTACATGAACAGTTTTTGGTTGTTCTGAAAGTCTCATCATTGTGCATAACTCAATATTTGCATAAATATTTTTTGTATCTTAATTCAATTTCCAGTAGAAATTTAGAAAAATAATGTTTTTAACGGAATTTCTAAATATTAAATGTTAAATGAATACGTATATTTAGATTTTATCATTTTTATCTATACAGTTTAAGATTTTCATTTTGATATTCTATTCTTGATCTGTTGAAATCTGACAGCATAATATGACGTCCATTGTTTCATTTGAAAACTTCTTGACTTTTGAATTGTTTTATTTGAGATATTCCCCCTCTTCCATCCTTCCAGTAGAAATTAAACATTTTCCCTGTATTATAAATTTTCTCTGATATGCGCTTGACGGAGGATTTTGCATGGATACTCCCATTTTCCCCTCCC